AACCTGCAAGGTATCAACTCCCCGTTTCACAGGTCTGACAGACACTTTGATTTGACATGCCACGAGCAGTTAAAGTGAAAGTTATGTACATGTTAATTAAACTGTTTATGCGTGGAGGGGTCAGAGACATTAGCAAGTCCCAGCGTAGAAGTGTGAATTTCTTCTCTTTCCCCCATCACAGCGTTTTAACCTCTTCTGTCTCTCATTTCGGTAATGACAACCAGGTGCTGGGCAGAATTTTTGCTTCACATTTTTGGCCAAGTGGAGATGCAGATAGCTCTATTTGTGAAAAGTGTCTGTGTGTGTTTGAATTTGGGCGAGGGATTTGACGGCTGGTTCTGCTCGTTTGGCTCACTTTTGGCGTTGGGTGACACACGGAGCCTGGAAAGCCTCTACAAAGGATGCATGAGTTCAGCAGCTTAAACAAAATACTCGGGCCCACTGTAGAATGTCAGTTTGAGAAGGCTGATTCATTTGGATGTAGGTCAAAAGGTGTAAATTAAAGGTTTTTTAGTAAAACGTCACGGTTGGAAAAGATATTTGGACCTAAAGAATAAATACACGGACAATGATCACAGTTTATATAGACTGTTATTATTTGCTGCTAAATGTCACTCCATATTGCAAGAGATAGATTGAACAATGAAACAGACAAATGTATAAATGAGAGATTACACAAAAATATGCAAAAAAAATTTTTGTCACAAAACAGGTAAATTTTAAGGTACTGCCCTAAATCAAGCCTGAAACGAATCGTTATCTTACAATAGCTGACTGACCAGTGCCCACATTGTACTCAACAATGGACAACAATTCCAATAATAAACTAGTGAAAGATGTATAAATTATACAGTAAAACTTTCTCCATTGTCAGGTTACTTATAATGACCTCACCCAAGGCACAATCACACAACTGTCTGGGTGCTGTTTTTGCGCTATATCATAAACATGTTTGCATATTGCAGTATTGCTCTCCTCACTCTCAGATCCATTAATGTTATTTTGGTATTTTTGGTATTTTTACACTTACCTCGACAAAAAGGGTTAATTTTGCTGAGTAAGTCCTCTTGAGAAGCTGTACTAACAAAAAGCAGTAATACAATAACAGCAAAACTATAAAACTGAATAAATAAAAAATGATGAAGCCAAAGTTGTGAACTGAGCCCCACAATTAATGTATTAAAAGTAATATCTAGGCCTGTCATGATAACAGATTTTGAAACATGATATATTGCTACAGAAATATACTGCGATAAACAATAATATTGAAACTACTTTATGCCACTGATACAATAATGCAAGATTGTCCTTGTAAATGATTTTTAAATACACAGTTCATTACGTGTCATGAGCTAAATCTGATAAATAATACAAAGAAGCAATGTAGACATACATTTTTCAACCCTGTACAACTCAAATCTTATTATACACATGATAAATTTTGAGCCCCAAAATATATTGTTCCAGCTTTCATATACTGAATGATAAGTCGATAGTAATAGTAATCATCATGACATACTTACTAATATCATAATCTCATGTTACCTCTCGTAGACATATACAAATAAAATTTTGTGACGTATCTCGTCAAAATTTTCTTGTCCCATCCCTAATACAAGAAATAAGTACTTTTGTCCAGTGGACATGGAAAACAGTATACTCATTGGATTGTTTAAGATGCGCTTTCTGCACTCAGGTTGTGCGCGCATCTGTTGTGTTGCCAGACAAATAATCCGTCTATACATATTTGTCAAAATGGCATTCATAAACCCAAGATGAGCCCTTTTGTGAAACTAAAGTAAGCAAGTGTAAAAACTCTTGACATATTTTGATGTTTTGTAAATAAACACGATTAACTGAAAATGTGCTGTCATTAATAGATATACACTTTAAAATTCTCCATTCATTTTTCAAGTTGAGGTAAAATGTAGTTTTCTTAATTGGCGATAAATACCCATCTACTCCGCTATTAAGACAAGCTCTCAGAACACTGTCAAAAAGAGGTTAATGTTTTCACTCTAATGCACTCACTAAATGCTTTTCCAATGAGCAATTCACAAGGACATCACATTCACAAAGAGCCAATATTTGAAAAGGGAGTTGCACCAGCGCAGATGGTTAGCTGCAAACTGCCACAAGATCAGGATAACAACTACTTATTTTATTTTACCCACAATTCTTTGTAAAATGGATCCCTGCTTTTGAGCTCCTCTTCAGCCTCCGTCAGTGCACTGTAGTTCACTTCAAGCATCTTTCCCTCTCACATGCTCAGAATCTCTCTTGGGTAATATTTGTTTTTGGTTACTGTTTGTTAGCTTTAACTTTTTAAAGATACAATTGTTTCCTAATTAGTTTGTGGCTAATTAATCTATGGATTGTTTGATGTACTGTGAAGCAATACTTTGAAAGCTCATCTTTTGCATACATTTGTAGCATTTGCAGCAGAGTTCAAAAGAAACAGGCCTGAGTTTAGAAAAAGCGCACATGCATTTGAATAATGTGGCCCAATTTTACGCTGTGTTTGTTTTTACTGGGAATATTAATGAATTAACATTTTAAACAATCCATCATTATGTTTGCCACTTATTTTTAACTCAATTATAATCTAATAGTTCATTTTTCCTAATGCGCACACTGTGTTCTCTCCACTTTGTTCAGCATACAACAAAAGATTAATTGCAAATCAGGGGACTGATCAAAAACATGATAATCAAATTGCAACAATGAGCTGAAAATTGCAAGTCTAATGCAACACAATAGTGCAGAACATTAACCACCCACTGCTTGGTGCATGAGTGTATGTGCAGTTCTCCAGATCAGGCCAGTCAATGTACAATGGCAACTAGTAAAATCTATGGGACTAAATCAGTACAATACCAGAGAGCAAACATCTTGAACGCAACTTGACACCCAATTTAAATTGAATTAATGTACAGTGTATCTAAGAAAAATAAGTGAGGCTTTTCAATTAAATTAAATTACATGATCTATACATTCTTCTGTGTATCATTTGTAAACCCAAATGCAAAATATTTTACATATTCAGACAGCATATACATATATCACTCATATATGCATAGATTGTAACAAAAGAGACTTTGACCAGTTATTAGTTTTTGCATCCTTTTGTTACTGTGGAAGTCACCTGGATGACTGAGGGTTTGCATATACATAAGTTGTTGTGCATTTCTCACAATTAAATTTCAATAATAATGTGCCTTTTGTACGTCAGATGTGTTGAGAAATGAGTTGGACTTTGGAGGACATTTTTGGGATAGTATTAAACTAAGTATCTCATATGGCATAATTCAATAATAATAATAATTCAATCATCATTTTCAGGAGATTTTCTAATGTTACAGAACTAACACTTGTTCATAGCCAGCTGAACACTTGCTCTTGTGTGTGGTCCTCATGTGTCTCTTGTTAAAAAATAATCGGCAGAGCAGACCAATGTACTTTGAAAAGTTTGTCCCTCTAAACTCCCGTAAGGACGTAAGCTTGGCTTATCAAAGATCTCCTGAATCTCTCAGCCTTGAAATTTATAGGATTTTACCTGCCTTTTCATTTTTCTCAGTACATCTTTTGTGGCAGCGTTCAATCAGCGCTTTGTGTCTCACTGTTTCCATTGAAGCAACAAGATTACATTATGGTGGTACATTCCATGCTTGTACATTCGGAGGATGCCACAATAGATTGGAATGAAAAATAGCTTTTCTGTGACCACAAGTGCAGCCTTTATGCATCCAAGGGCATGGCATTCTTGGGTCCTGGGTACTATCTGTCTCTTTTCATTTTGCTACCTCTATCTCTATATTTTTTGCTTCCTTCCTTCAATAGACTCCCTCCATAGTCTCTACTGGCATCGGCTGCTCTCTTCATGGAGATGTGCGTCTTTTCTTATTTGTTCTCCTTAGCTTAATCTATATGTTTCCCTTTTGTGTTTTTATTATCACTCATACCCATTATTTTAGTGCATCGTATTAAAGATGCAGGATGTCCTCCATACTTTAGTTTTCCCACTGGTGAAGTTCTGTGAGACCTTGGGTTAATCCTTCGATAGCTTTTTGAGGGCAGTAATGACGAAATATTATATTGAAAATTAAACAAATACATTGTACAGTTATTGTCATCTTTACTCTGAGTGAAACTATAGGAAATATTTCCATTAGATTAAACCATCTTTTAACCTTTTCTTATTTCCTATTATATTCTGTGAAAGGTTTTAAAATCTCCAAATCCCATAAAATCTTAAATTAGATAGACACACATTTACTATTTATATTATGAGAATACAGTTCCCAGACCAAAACACAATCTGGGGATAAAAAAGGTTTCAGAAGAAGCGCTTCCTGGACCTCCAGAGGATAATACACAGTAGATCCAACTCAGTGTTGCTCTTTGGGAAGGGAAGTCAGTAAAAAGATGCAATAAACCCAAGGCACTCACTGGTTAAAATAAAATGCCTTTATTAATTTATGGCACGTCTTAATGGAAAACTTACAAAGTCCCGACGCATTTCAGTCTGTGGCACAGTTGGGGATAATCATGGGATAATCCTTTAGACTAGGTAAATTGTCCACAAACATTTTAGGTGAGTATATGAGGCCACATGGCAACATAAAGTACTATTATTTGTTGTCAAAACTCACATTCTTTTACCAAAAGAAAGATTAACGTGGTATCGATGTGAGTATTGGGTATTGAGTCTATTCCTTAGTATTAAAATCAAGTCTGAAATTTTAAATCCCTCATCCTAAAACAGCATCACATTAGGTTGATTATTATTATTATTATTATTTTTTTTTTTTATAAGAAAAAAAACAAAACTACCAGATTCATAAATCTCTGCTCTCTGCTAATGAATGGACATGCAGATGTTGTGACTCGTCAATACATCGTAAAATTGACCACTGGAAATAAGTGAGAAAACAACCGTAACAACTTTGTCCTCTTTCTCTTCCCTTTCTTCTCCCCACTCTCTGTCTTTCTCTTTGCAGGGCCTGTTCATCTTCCTGATATATGGGGTGTACAACACAGAGGTAAGTCTGCATTGTGTCTCAAGGCTGTCGGAGTGAATGAGAGAAATGACAAGTTTCTGATGGGCTTCCTGCTTAAGTGCCGTGAGTGTGTGCGTGGTGGAGAGGAGGGATGGCGTGTAGGGGAGGGGCCATCGTTTCCTGCGTCCCACTGCCCTTCATGCTTGGACTAACTTATATGCATCTGAGTCCCACCATTAAACACTGACACGCGGCACTCCTCAGCCACTCATTCCTCACCCACATTGGCTAATATTTCACTGCCTCTTTAAGTTTTTAAACTCACGGTCCGCCATTTAGCATCCTGACAAAGCCACCGGCCAGGCCTCCGCACCGGGCGCTGCAGTGGTCGACATACAGAGTGAGAGAGAGGGGGAAAAAGAGAGAAAAACGATATGCAAGCAGCAGTATGCTATGAGGGAATATCACTCCAGCATTACCATTTAGATTTGTGGAGGCGGAGAGTGTCACAGTGCGGAGGAGGAGGAGAGATTAAATGGATGAGATTTTGAATCATTGAAATCACTCTTGGTCAAATGTGGCTTTTATTCTTCCTAAAGACCATGTACAGTCTGAATTTTATGTTGTTCCCTAATTATTTTAGATAAAAACTATAATATTGAAGCTACTGGTGCTACATTTTAATATATTAAATTGTAGCAACTTAGTATAAATTAATTAACAAAACATATACAAGGCGATAAATCATTCAGATCACATCACAAAAATATACAATCATACGGTATATTCTTAATTTTAAGCAGAAATGTATTTTCATAGAAAATGTAGATGGAATTAGTTATGCCATTATTTCACAAACTTTTCACATGTGAGAGGAAAAGTCAGCCTAATAAAGGAAAGGGTCTTGTATAATTAAACGGAGTATGCATATTTTTCTTTCATATGCAAAGAAAAGCTGTTGCATTAAGCAGTGTCCAAATTCAGGCAATGCTCATTTATGGAGTCTAAGCTTCATAATTACAGATCTGCTGTGGAAGACAAACTGCCGCTACAGCTATTAAACTCAAAATAGTGTTTTAATTGCTAATTACCTGACAATAGCTCTCCATTATTCATTGCAATTAGCTTTTCCTTGGTGGTCACCTTGTAATCCCACGCTTTGATGACCTTTTATTTCCATCAGCTCCAAGGATGTCGGCAGGTGTTGTCGGGTGCTCTGCTTTCATATGGTAATCTCTGTGCGCCCATTTACATGGGGAGCCATGCATTGCATCATTTTGAAACCTTGAGTACACACAAATCCCCTTAAACACACAACAATCATCTAAAACAATGCCCTTCCCCTCATTGTCAAATGATTAATTAACTTGTGTCATGTAATTGCCTCAGCATGCACTCTGCTTTTGATATCAGTCAAATCCCCAGGACATTCTCCCTCCATTAAATAACATTAAGCCTCTCTGCAGTCTGAGGCCAGTGTGGATCTAAGTTCTCACTATAGGCTGTGGTCACATGACGCTGTGGGTTTTGTCCTGTCACAGCAGTGCCCTCTTTATTATGTGGCCTTATGCAAAACAGTGTGTGCTGTGTCTATGGGTTTGTCTCTGACATCATTTATAACACACTGGGACTTAATGAAGCCATAAACCATAATGCACAATCACTAACCTGGGGGGCTGGACTGTACCCACACAAATTTACAATGGGAAATGACACCTGATAATGCTAACAGGTTTCATCTCTGATACTAGAACATAACTGAACATTTCAATATGTAAATAACAAAGAATGTAATTATCGTGTTATTTGTAGTTTCTGTCCTTTTTGTAAATTTACTTTATTCTAAACATGTGTTATTCTTGTTCTCATTCTAAAAAATGTAGTAGATAAACGTTTAAGCTGTCAAATGTACTATTAGACATATATCACATTAATTATAGTGTGAACATTGTCCTCTTGTTTCTCTTTGCACTCTGGGGTACAGTGTGTAGTAAATGAAAGCCTGCCGTGCGCTGCTTGATCCAGAGTGTAAAATGTAATCTGTTCTGCTAGGCCAGTCCCCTCTCCTCCAATAGCTCCATTTGTTGGTCACGGCGCTCCGTGTTGACAAATGATAGCGTGAAGTCGTCTTCTTAGTTTGGCTGCTCTATGTGTCACTTTCAAGTGCCGTTAGAGCGTAGGGCACACAGGACCTGCTTTAACACAGAGACTCAGACTTTGTCCTGGCTCGAGCATTTTTGTGCTCATGCAAAACATATTACATATTTATATACATTTTTAATCAAAGTTAAAAAGTAAAAGTTAGGGTTACTTTTCTACATTCTACGATAACATGGAAATGCACTTTTTACTATACTAAAATAAAGTATTTAGTACTATAAACTAGGAGAATATAACATTTTTCACAATTTTTAATCTTTTGATGAAAACCACAACCAAATTTTCTGCAAATGAATTTTAATTATTCAGGTTCATTTCAAATTCTAAACTATATTAATTGGAATGGATTTTTTTTTCTCCCTTCAATATGTTATATACACATAGTATACACCAATTAGATTATTACCTGTCACACTGTGTTGCCAGAGAAAAGAGTAGCCTTCAACCTTTTGAGAGGTGTTTCCCACTTACTTAGGATAAACAAGCTGTTTTACTACCAAAATGCAGTTGTATGGTAACAGTTGACCTAATCATTTGTTTTGTATTAATAAAACAAAAACACTTTTTGATGGAATATTAATTATAAACTCAAATTTTCAGTTTCATTCAGTTTCAGTTTAAAAATTTCATTCACTGTTATGGAAAATCCTGTTTCATCAATTGATTGCATCATTTCTTTCATCTGCTTTCCTCAGGTGCGGAGCACAGTCAACAGGATCAAGGAGAGAAGAAAGGCACTTAATTTTTCAGTACGTAATCTTCCCCATCTCTTTATAGTCTTTAAAACAGACAACAGCGCTTTTGCACCGTTTACACAGAATCTCCACAGCCCCAACAAAGCCAATAAAAACTGGCCACAAAATAAGACTCTTCCTCTTAGCGGTCGGCAGTCCATGTTGGATGCCCTTATTCATCAAACATAGACTCCCGGTAATAGCCCCCCCCCCCTTCCTCCTCCTCCTTCTGTGCAACTGGCCCTTCTCTGCACCTTCATCCTGGCAATGTCAAGCCCCGCGGAGGGTTACAAGTTTCTAATCCCGGACAAGCCGTCCCCTGACATTAAAGTGTCAGACCAGTATTTATACCTTGTTTGGTTGAAATGGTGTTGTGAGTATGTGTGCGTGTCCAGGGTTATGTGTGTGCCTAAGAACATGGTCAAGCTCTTTAAAGGTAGTTACTAGTCAGGAGTGCGCACCATCCACATGCACGTAGCGGCAATTATAGAGCCTACAACAGCTTGATAAACAGCTCTAGCATCATTCCACCCACTATGTAGGCCCATCCACAGTCAGCGCCGTCCTCTATGAGTGATCACATTTGCAGGCGTCCCGTTGCCAGGATGTTGTGTCACGCTTTATGGCCAGCAACACTTTGTCCTATACCCCTCCCTCTGCACCCTGACCCATGTATGTGCCTTCCGATGTCTACCCCCTACCCCCTACCTCCGCCTCCTCCGAGCTATTGCTAACCGTAGATTAATTTTTTTCTCGTCCCAAGCAACCTCATGCTTCCTCTTTGACCTCCCACCTCTGTTATGGTCTGGAGTTGTGGGAAATATAAAAATAAATAAATAAATTGAAGTGTTTGATTTGGGAGGGGAGCCCCATGTGACCAGGTGCACTTTGATATATCGTCTCCCATGTTATCAGCGATACACCCCCACCTTCAAACATCTACCATCATTTTTACTGCTTTCCTTCTCGCAATTTTCCAATCTTGCCGGGTTCCGCTACAAGAATACGTTTTTTAGCCATTGCTACCCCGTGACGGTTTTTAGCTAATGCTATTTTTTGCCATAAATCCTGCTTGAAATACTGTATCTATACCTGTCCTGTGGTTAGATAGGAGACATTTGGCTCTAGATGACCGCACATGCCCTTATATCTCCCCTTGTTGTAAAAGCCAGGATTGGGGCGCTGGGATAAAGAGGCTCGGGTGGCGTTACTACATATGGGCCATTTGGAGACGTATGATTCTCGACAGGGGCAAGGAAGTTTATATCTCATATTATTTGCAACGCTGAGGGATAATTCATTGCTTTACATATTTGAAGTGTTTTTGTACATTTACAAAGGTCAGAGCTTGTTTTATTTCACCACAGGAAGTGTTGCAACATTTAATCTTTTTATTCTAGAAGATGCTGATTTGTCACTCAAATGAAAACGTATAGTGAATGATTGAAACTTGAAACTTATTGAACATTTAGACATTTTACGACCAATTAGTATTTTTAAATTAAAGTATTATTACTAGTTGATTAGTCAAATTATTATTTATATTGAGATTTTAAAGATACTTTTATTAATAATATAAAGGTTGACATATGATGAAGGCCTCTAAGACAGAAGATATTTATTTATACAGAAAATTATAGCTGAAAATCAAACATGGTTTATTATTATTATTTTTAATTAAATTTAATTAAATACTTTTTTTTTTTTTTTTCTTTATGATAAATGATATTTTGATATGTGTTTTAGAGTCTGTTTAGTTCAGATTATTAGAGTTTAGTAGTCAGGATTATTATGGTTAATCGTTCGAAACTAAGCCCAAGTACATACGCACAGTAAAAGATTTATTTTAAATGCACCTTCTATTAATTACAAACTTGAAAATTGCAGATCATTATAATCTATTAAATAAAATATTCTGCTCGGTAGCTATTCTGGCCTTGACCATCTCATAAAAATTCCAGTAAACGCCTTTTTTAATTCCACACTTGTGTTGACCTCCTTGGACCTCTTCTTTTTAGTAGCTCACAACATAAGCATAGGTCACAAGCAGCCCACGAGATGGTCTTCTGACACCCGCCCAGACGGCCATTTGGACCTGAGCTAGCTGTCGGCTCGTACCCAGTGTCTCTTGACCCACCATGACCTCCCTCTTGTACACACACTGCCAGATTGCTTTGTGAAATAAAGCTGTCAGTTGCAAGATCCAAATAAAAAACAGCCCCTCGCACACTGTTGATGTCGCTGCCCCTGACACCTTTGAAATACAGTTATATATTGGCTGTGGATTAGTTTTTTGGACCTTAATTCAAGTTTTGACAAGATATTAAGTTTGCGTTTTATAGTATTTTTCTAGTGTTTTGTTAAATGGTGATTATTGCTGTTTTTTATAGAATTGTGCCAGCTCTAGACCATCCAGCTCCATGACCAGCTCTCGTCCCACCAGTTTGCCCCTTGGCATCGGCCCGAGTCAGGAAGAGGAGGCCAACAACATGTCCACCTGCAGCAGTGCCCCAGGCCCTACCCAAGAGGAAGAGCCAACAACAGGTGAGTCATTATAAAGGGCCTGAAATCACTTTTATATGTGGGATAGTTTTACCACTCCAACAGATAGGTTGAAATCCTGTACTGAGAATGACCTTGGCCTTTCTGTGTGGAGTTTACATTGGTTTCCTATGGGTGCTCCAGTATCGCCCATCATTAAAAACATGTAGGGTCCCGGGACTTCCATGAAAAATAAACCTTGTGTGTATCTCAGTGGGACTTTCCTAGTAAATGAAAAGTGAACTAAAGCTGATCATTTATGTCTAATAAAATTTTCGATTTCAAAAATATATGTTTTTCTGGGTTCACTCAATGGTTTACATCTAACTTTAAAGAGGGGGTATTGTATTATTTGGTATTACTGTAACTGCTAACACATAACATATTTAGATCACCATGTTACCTTTTATTGTTTTGAAAATGCTATAGTCACAGAAAACAATGTATTAACATGCTTTATAAGTTTCACTTTTGTTTTTGACACTCTGAGTCCCCCTCCCTTTGTTTTACACGCTCACTCCCCCTTCAGAGCGCTATCACAACACAATCAGCATGTTAATGAAGCTATTGCACATTGCAGTCAGGTTTGTCAAGTTTTGTGTACAGTTTTTTTTTTTTTTTTTTTCTCAACATACTTTTGTATATTTAAAGAGAATTGTTGCACAGAATCTTATAGCTAACCATGAGGAAGGTTTGAGTAGGGCCCGGGAGAGATCACAAAATTACAGAGATTTGCCTGAATTACATCTAAATCCTCTTCAGGCATGTTTATGATGAGAGAACAACTTTAAAACATGGCAGAAGGCCATGAAAAAAAAATCTACATATATATATATATATATTTTGTGTCATGCCCCCCATTGAACTAAAAAAAAGTTAAACTTAAATCTAACCAACCCAGATCACAGTGAATGAAAAAAAAATTGATCAAATATGGTCAAAAAATTTGACAAATTTGACATGAAAAGACCACCGTGTCAATTTGGAATCTCATCATAGATTTGTTCTTGTACATTGTACATTTGTCTGGTTTTGGTCAGTGACAAATCTCATAATATTTTACATCTACATTATGTTACTCCATATGATTCCTTCTACTGTGGCTAATTAATTTGTACATTTCAGTATGGCAGAAATTGGGTGAGCTGGCCCGAGGTTAGCTTTTCAGAGAATTTGTGCTACTCTTTAGCGCTACACATAATCACATAATTTTATTTCATTTGATTCAAATACTGTTGACCTTGCTTCCCAAAAAGCACAACCAATTGGCACTTTGCGTCAAAAAGAACAAGGAAGGTCAGCGCCTGAGCAGTATTTTTAATTGGAAAGATGAAATCCAAATCTACACTTTCAGAATAAGTCAAATATTTGTTGTGTACCTTTTTTTCGTTCACGTACTTCTTTTGAGCATGGCTGCACCTGTAACCTTGCCTTTAGAAATGTTTGTGTTCACAAGTGGTTGCTTTGCCGAAGGACTTCTCTAGTTTTTTTTTTTTTTTGGTTTGTAGCTACTGCAAAAAGTCCCCCTAAAGCTGTCTTTATTGACATTCAGTTAAGTGATTACAACTATTTTGTTTGTATTATGTCTGTCCCGTACAATGTAGTGGAGGGGAGTGAAGACAAAAATGCAGGTAAGGGGGTTCCAGGGATAGGGAGGGGATGTTAAATCAAAAATATCCTCCAAACACTAACCAGAGAGCCTGGATTCAATCTGGCTGCCTGACCTGCTCTGCTCTCAGTCGAGTTAGCAGTCATTTGGTTATGGAAAAGATTGGAAGCACAAATTTCAAAGAGAAGCAATGAAAGACTATATAAGAGGCCATAGTTGCTGATTTTACTGTAATTTAAAGCATGCCCTTATGTCGATGTGCATTATTTGTCTCAAAGAGTGAAGCATTTACAGACAAACCACACATTTTTACTCAGATACATTTATTTAGAAAGCACTGACAATCAAGATACAACTATCCTATATATCACACAGAGTTTTATGGCCTTTTTACGCTGTGAATATCAGTCAATGCAAATAATCCATAATGAGTAGTCTTCTTTGAGGAAATAGATGGCAGCGTGTGGTTTATGACTTGCACAATCGCATTTGAATAGTACACGCGCTGCCTGTTATACTCTCAATGTGATTTACTGCGTTTCTGTTACAGGCGATTTGCATGGCCCTCCGACACTGTCTCACTTACAGTTAGAGCTCACTAGTTAAATCAGTCTATTTGTCACATTTAGCTGAACAAAGCGCAGGAAGAAAAATGAAAATCAGCAGCAAAAGTCATGTTTTTGAAAAGAAGACAATTGTAGTAATAACTGAATGTCACCTTCAATTATGTGGTACATTAGCTGCAACGTTTTCTGTTCAAGAGAAGAATAGACACGTAGTATGTAAATGGAACAGGTTGTAGCTCGACAGCAAAAAATAAATCTTTTATTCAAGTAAAGCAAAGTTTAATAAAGTAGTATATAAAGAAATCCATTTAAGTAATGAATTAATAACATTTTGTATTTTTATATTAGTTATACTGCTTTGAAATTACATTATAGAAAATCAATATCAAAGAGAGTAATAAAAACATAACAACTATAACTGATTAAATGCTAGAAGTCAGACAATCATACTACTCTAGTCACAGCAAAACACGTCCATGGAGACATGCAGGTGCAAAAATGTTACACACCTTTAGAGAAATTATCTTGTGTGTAGCATTGAAATCAATATTGAGTATCAATCCTTTTTCTTAGTATCACAATCAAGTTGGAGATTTTAGTATTGTGTCCACACTACAACAAGATTGCCCCCAATAAGTACAGCAAGGTTTCAGTGTTTACAGAATCACGCTGTATTATTACAACTTACTAGAGAATAGCTGTTTGCTTTGTCTTAATCTTATGTCCACAATAGCTGTTTTTTACATTGCTCCATATGTGTTACAATATGTCCTTTTTCCATAAGGCACAAACAGATGGGTTCCATTCTTGTACAATTACGTCCCCATCTCTCCCAGTGATAGTGGTATCTTGCTTGCACAAGGTCAGCTCTTTTCTTTGTGGGTGGGTGGAGTGGGGGTCTGCCTTTGATAGCTTTGATACCTTTTTGCCTGTTCCATCTTTCTGTTTACCAAAGTTGGTTGACGCAAATGTCCACAGTACAGACTGGGCCCTGTTTGAGTCTATGTGAGCACTGGAGAAGGACAAGTGCATAATGGGCGATTGGCAATAGAATAGGTATGGATTGGATAGAGATTTGAACTGAAAGCGAGTGGCTACGTGGGTGTTTGTCAATGGGTTAGATTTCCAGCAAGAAGGACCCACACAGTGTTTAGGTGAAGGTTGCAAGCCCTTAAAGTAGGAATAATATGCTAGGTCACTAGTGTTACCTCACCTCTTCTTGCTTTGTTAAAACCATCCATTCTGCGACTGAAAAGAGACGGGTTTATAGTTTTGCCTATTTATGCCTCGTTAATAGTTTATACTTTTATGTTTATTAATTATATCTTTACAAATATACCATTGAATTCAACTGCAGACATTTTTCTTTCCCTTTTTGTCTAAATTGTGGCATTGTTCGGGTGAAATACATAGAGCAATCAGAGGAGAGAAGAATAGTCTCTTGCAGATACAGGCTTGGTGTCATATCCAGTTTACACAGGTCTTCTTGTAGGAACCATACGCCTGCACATGGTTGACATCTGACACTCCTTCCTGCTTGGCTAACATGTGTTTTATAGCATTGCTTGCAATTAGGGGCCTTCCAGATAAAGTGGCGTGGCGGTATATTGCATGCATCTTCGGCAGATTACACCCAGATCCTGCAGCTGACACTATGGGTTCACCCTCCCCCCTCTTCGTCCCTCCTGCCCCTACAGCATCACCCGTCATGAGCATTTAACAATGTCTGCTGACATGCAACAGGTCCGTTCAACTATACAGGCAAAGCTTCATTGTGTAGATTCACTATTTCAGGTGAATTTTGTGAATGCGTCGAAAAAAAAGTGAGGATTGTTGCCAAAGTTTAAATATGTGCCCAAGTATGTAAACGTGATGTAAAAAATAACAAAAATAATGTTTTAAAGGCCAGCATTTTTACAGACACAACATTTGATTAATTTGAAAAGTGTTCATTATTGCTTTCACCAGTTTCTAGCAAAACATACTGCGTATCAGTTTGACTTGGGAAGGGAGGTGTAAGTAAGGTAGCACTGTCAGAACACCTAATTACCGGTAAGTCATTTAATGAGAGTTCAAACTCCAGTGTGGTCTAAACTAAAACCTTCAAGACAGATTTCTGTGATGTGTTACATATTCATAGATAGTCCAAACTTTCCTTCTGAACGTGCACATTGCAATAAAAATGGAAACAAACCAGTTATGCAGGCACTTAGATTACAGTTATATGGGGTATTTTGGTTGCCGTGGGAGCTGACATCACACTGATAATGACCACAGGAGCTGATGCACAGACAGTGCTATGAGGTATGCGTGTGACACCGAGGCATTTGGCCTCTGAGTGGCAGCTTATGTTCAACATCTCACTGATGCAAAGTGATGTGTACTAATTCTACATCTGCTCAACCCAAACAGGCTCGGAGAGTTCAGCCAAATCCCCAAAACACACTTCCTCACAGCTTCACCCCTGCTCTACCCCTGCACACACAGCGTCAGCCCTGCTCTACCCTTGCACACCATAGACTGAATAAAGAAGTGAATTAGGTGAGCGTGACATCACCCATAGCGTCCAGCTCCAGTCAAATGAAGCTCACAAAGCTAGCAGTTATAGTAGCGAATACTGAACCAAGTTCCATACTACGAATAGGACAAAATAGCGAAATACAAAGACCAGGATCATGTAGAGCGTGTTAATACAAACATTTTAAGACCAAAATGACAAGGCTCACTTACAGTGCGTACAGAGATAGGGGTGAGAGACAGAGACAGAGTCAATGGAGATGGAAGCACCCCCATGTTCACTTCATATTTGGAATGCAGCGGCTAGTGGG